GAGAAACATGCAGGTGGTTGTGGCAGCACATCTCGGCAGACAGAGCCTGGTTAAAGGGTGGGAATTCTGCAACTGAAAAGAAATTTAAATGGCACATCTTCCACAAAATGACTCTGACATTCGCTCCAATCGATGGTAAATGCAGACCTGCAAGCTCCCCGTCGATTTTCCATTTGACATAAATGGGAGATTTTTTTTCTCTTCTAGTTTGAAATGCAGTTCTTTTCCCATCTCTTTACAAAACGCCGTCTCCGAAGGAGAAGTTTAAATGTTTATTTCGGGGGCATGCCGAAGGTCAGTCCCCTTATAGTGCCACTTTGAAGGCTCAGAATCATTTCCTTTGGAGTTGTGTAATCTACTCCAAGTCCTGCCGTGTGTGACAGACCCCCGACCAGCTCCACTCACTCATACAGCAGTTGGAGTGTGCTTTCGTCGCTGTCACACAAATATTTCTTCCAGCGCTTGTTGTACACTGTCCAAAAGTGACGAGTGCCGAAAGAAGGGTAGGGGAGAGAAGGGGGAGGTAGGACGGCGGGCTAACTATTTGACTTTCCTGTCTTGTCTCCCTGTCTTAATGCACAGGGGGGGTGGGGGATGTAGGCTTGAGTCCGCAATTACGATTCCGCTCAGCCGATCTACTCCAACGGCTCAATGGGGCGAGAATGAGCAGGACTAGTGTTGATAAATGGCCCACGTCGCTCTCGGTGTCCTTCCAATATAACCTGGGCATTAATTACACCAATTGGTATTGCACTGTCATCAATATCCATCCTGCTCAGGTCTATATTCACAGGAGTGCACGTTGCATTTGTTGAATGTACACAAGGTTTTTTTTTTTTTAATTTTGGAATTGAGATACTTTTACCGTCTTCTTAGTGGAGCTGGAAATATTGTTATTTTTATCCACATGAATGAAATGTCAGTAACTTTTATTACTGACATTTTTTAATTTTAATTAAAAAAAAACATTTTTTTCTTTTAATTATCTTTATATAAAACAATGTTCTAACATTATTTAATCCTCATTCAGAGCAGACTATTGGCTACAGCACCCTCCACAGGTCAGGGGAGAACAAGTTACATGTTCTGTATTTACAAACATTTATCTCAAACTTCTGATTTATCTACCATCCAATCAGGTAATCTCAGAACATTGCCAAGGCAATTATACTTTTCCACAAGTCATCCAGACCGTCCTTGTTTACAGTAATACCCGGGGGCGTGTGTGTTATTTACCGTAGACTGTCTCCGACCCATTTAATTTCTCCGCAATGAGTTGCAAAAACAAACCGTGAGGACGTGCTACAAAACTTCCATAAAATTAATCAAGTTTACATTCTGTAATTCATCAAACTGAGCTCTGAGCGTTTGATTATTTTTGTTGCACAAGAGTATTATTCACCATCAATCAAAGGCATCAGAGAAAAGAAACAACACCAATAAATTTATCAGAGAGTAATCCAGCAGGACAGGAAACTGGCTGAAGCTCCAGGGAGTTTTTGCTGTGGTCATGATCCTAATATCTAAGTTTTAACTTTTTGTGAGGACGGATCAAACGAGGCACTGAAATAACGAGACAGGTTGTGGGATTCATTATTTCTAAAGTGTAATGGGCCTGTTTTCACTGCTTTACTGCAGCTTAGAGGCTATTTTAACATCTTTATTTCAGGTATAATTGCTGTGTTGCATTAGCAAATATTCAGAATCCCTGTTAGGATTTAGCACCGATCTGAAGCTGTGCCTGTAGACCTGCAGGTTTTAACCTTGATGGAGTGTCTGCTGGGAAGTCAGAGTCTGGAGCTTTAGTCCATTTCAGACGTCTATGAGTCATTAGCAGCCTAACCAAAGGGAAGCGTCCTCTGCTGAAAATCCAAAGAGGTCAAATGAACTACTATATCACTGAAAGGCAAAGATTAGAGACAGTATAGTCCATATTTATGCTTCTCTCCTACTCTATGAACCACCTCACATCAGCACTAAATTAATCTCTGAGCTGGCCACACCTCCTGTCTAACAACTACTAGAAAACTATTATTTGCAGTACATTGTTTGGTAAACAATGCACTGTGTTCAAATACATGTCTCTTTAAAAAAAAAAAGTCAGCCCTAAAATCGCAGAATCTACTCAAAGAATATGCCTAGAAGTTAAGCTAAAGGAGTAAAAGTTAAGAAAAACACCGGTTATACTTTTTTTTTAATCAAGTAAAAATGTGTACAGGAACAAAGCAAACTAGATTGGGGAAAAGTTCTATAGTACTATGTCTCAAAGGCTGTAACATTTTAAACTAAATTATAAACTTATCATAAACAAAAATTAACTTGCAGTCTGCCAAAGTGGACAACTATTAGAACTAAAAAATTATAAAATAGTTTAAAAATGTCAAAATGCAATTTGGCAAAAAAAGGACATTTTCTAAAGATGAAGCTTTCTTTATAATTTATTCAAACTATCACCATAATAAAAAGATACTCCAAATTACCAAAGACAAATCAAAGATGCATTTAATGGTAAAAGTAAACAAAACAAATCAAGAGCAAACTAAAGCAATCACAAAATAAAAATGTAGCAAAACCATTCATTTTAATCTCCAAAGATGAAGCATAAAGTAAGCAAAATAAAGAGCACAAAACCTAACTGTGTGGAGTTTGCTTATTCAGCAGCTGCAGTACAGTATGGACAGAGGAAGGTGACTGGAGTGCAGCCAGGTAAAGTGACTTTGGTCCAAAACTCAGACCATCTGTCCTGTCACTTAACCTGCACCTTTTTGTTTATTGTCTGTCTCTCTAAGAACTCAACTGCATCGTCTCTCTTCTCCTTTGTCATTAGCACAAGATTTCACGACGGACTCACGTCTGGCATAGGGGTTACAGAGTCCACTGTGAGTGGCTGCAAACTTTTGAGAACCATATGGCGAGCGTGGCCAGACCTGTCCACGTCTCTGGGATTTTGACAGAGGGCAGGCTAATTTGATGCCTCCTGAATTCTCATTTAAGACTCAGATCTGTGATTACAGGCAGACTTCAGACTCAGTCTTCGCAGTGAAACTCCTAAGTGATGGCTCTTTAATTTCCAGCAGTCATCATGGATTGAGAAATGACTCAAAGAAACTGTCAGGCAGAATGAAGGACAGTTCTCACATTCGTACATGACTACGTGTCAGTTGTGTTGAAAAGAAATTAATTGGACTCACTGTGCCGATCAGAGGCGCTGATGAGTTGTCATCGGGAATCAATCAATAAATTCTAAATGCCAAATCAACAAGCCTGACAATTCCATCTGTTTTCTTTTTTTCTTGAAGCCATGACATAGTCTGGTGATGATTGCATCTTTAAATGGTCCAGGATAATGGTTTTCTATATATGACAAGCTCCTCCCCAAGAGGGGGCGACAGAGCTCTTCAAGGGGCACGAAACGAGGAAAAAGAAATCCTCTAGTAAACTCTGATGAAAAGAGTCAATGGCTCTATGTACGGTAAAACAATGAAAAGACTCTACAATGACTAAATAAACAAAAGGAATGAAAAGGAATATTTAAAATTTGGAATTGGATTGGATTGACTGCTGTTGGACAAGAACTTTTATCATTGTTTTCATGAAAGAATATTTGATCATTTGTGCAACCTGGAAACTCAAATATTAGTACTTACAATTGCACTTATGCTCTGCTTTAAAATGTGGAGAAGGGGGTTCATAATAGGGTGAGGGGTGTGGGTTGCTTCTTGGAAATTTCCAATTGTCTTCTTATCTAATTATGTTATGTTATCATGATCCTTTATCTTCCTGTTTGGGTGGTTAGCAATGCAGTTAGTCATGGTCCAGTTTTCCCACGGCTACATAAAGCGAGCTGCCCGCGCCACATAGTTTTAATGTGAGTGTACAACTGCAAACTATGGTGAGGCATTGTTTGACAGGGTTTTTGTGTAACAGAGCTGCAGAGAAAAGCACAAGCTCAACAAACTGCTACTCAGCTGTAACAAGGTACTGGAGGTCATGAGTCGTCAAGAGGAAGAAAACATTTTCCACTGATGTCATTCCATTCTAATGGCTCTGCTGGCAGACAGTGTTTTGACAATTATTTTACCTTAACTGTAATGCTGACAGCTACTTTGGGTAAATGTTTTTTTTTTTTTTAGTATTTAAATTTTAGGACAGGTATAATATTATAGTTATATCAAAATGCCTTTTTTTATAACCTACAAACAGAAGCCATCTCACACACATGTTCAACAACTTGCTATGCAAATATTTGTCGATTCCAATACCCGATTCGTTTTTCCATTTACACTTGAATGCTAAAGTCATCTTTATCATGGCTTAACCAGCTTTCTCAATAATACCAAACCTTCAGTCGTCGTTATGCTTTAAGGCCGTGCTTTTCTAACTGTTTCTGCTGTGCCCCCTCTTGTGGATTATTGTTAACCTCCATGTCAACACTTAGGGCTCGCCCCCCACTTTGGAGACCACTACTTTGTAGCAACAAGGACGTTTCCTAGTCAAACCAAATACACTGCGGCACTAGCACCATGTACCTAAAAAATTAGCTATTGACTGAACAGAATGGTATAACTCTCCAGTTTTCCATATGTATAAATTCCCACAGTATTTACCCAAATATACACAAGTATTTGTGGGTGTATATTTTGCAATGGATGAAGTTAAATCCAACTGTTGACTGTTTATAAATCTGCCAAACATTGGCTGCATTTTTAATGGAAAAGCAGCTAATATTTATTCATTTATTCTGCAGCACATACTTGGAGGCGCAGTCATAAATCTACTGGACCTTCTAACGGGTGACACCGCTCAATATTACATAGAGTTGATTTAAAGTGGCTTTTCTGTCAATTACGTCCACCAATTTGGTTCATTTTGGACTTCACCAACGTGTCCCAAGCAAAGAAGTGAAACAATGTGAAATATGTGAGCAATATTCATCATCTCTGTGCATTTGCTGCAATGCAGTACATTTCCACTCATAATGGAATATAGTAGACACTCACCTCCTCTCATCTGTATTAGTTGAACGGCCCATTTGGATGTTAGGAATTTGTGATGGATGTTTCCACGTATTTATGTTCTTCAATGTGACCTTCACGAAAACAGAAAAAATATAAAATAAATAAACAAAATTAGAACGTGGACTTCTTTATTTCCTACCCTGTTGGTTGGAGGTCAGTGTGATAAGGGCCTGCGGACAGAAATATCTGCCTTTTGTCTGAATGGTAAAAGGTTAGTCTTCCAAACTCTATTTCTGAGTTCTCATTATTTTCATTTCCCCTCCTGTCACTTAGCATAAGGTTTTTCTTTTCTATTCTTTTCACACAAGAATAGCTTTTGATACAAAGCCAAGTATTTTTTTTGCATCTGAAAAAAACGCCTTAATCTCTTACTTCTGCAGGGATGTACTTGGATGAATCGGAAAGGAATGGAACATAAAATGACCCACTTACTGTAAACACCAATGTCCTTTTTTTAGGCTTTTTCTTTTAAATTTCAAATAGAATTACCAACTCTTTATTTTCTCTGGTGCAGAAATGGAAATAGCACGGCGTTAATTCACCCATAAGGACATTGTTGGTTCCGTGGACAAATTCAACTGACTCCAGACGCTGGAATACACCATGGTATTATTCATTAAGACAAGTGAAACGTTGGGAGTCTGCGAGAGTTTCTGAAAAAACGGCCCGACCATATGTTTAGTGTCAATACGACTTCATGGTTGCCAGTGTGGAAAATAGCTGCGGGCCACACAATGCACACTCGCACAGTGCTGTGTGTGGATAAATAATCTTCAACTGTGAAATGAGGAATAGGAAATTACTAACAATACATTTTATCCAGTCCTTTTTTAATTGCAATGGGAAAATGGTTGATTATGAAGAGCCTGGGAGTGTTTTTTTTTTATATATATATATTTTTTATTAGAGAGACAAAAGAGTTGTGTGATTGTTTCCAATGTCCTTGGTGACTCTCCAAGGACTGGACTGGCATGAAATTGGCAAGAAGCAGGTAGCGAAGCAAAGAAGAAGAAATGAGGGAAAAAACGTGCCAAAGAGAACAGATATGACCGTGGGTAAAAATGTGCACACGTTAAGAGTGATGGTCAAAGAGGATGAAATAATGAAAAGACCTTGGAAAAGCAGGATAACACAGGCTTGCTGGGATTTCTCAAAGTAATGAAATATTAAAAAACAAAAAACTTTAAGTTAAGCATCGGTCATCTTTGATTTGGAATTAGAACACTTTCTTTTGCACTTCCATGTTAGCTGACAGCAAAAAAATAAATAAATAAATTACCAGTTTATTTGTTTTAGCAGCCACTAGGCAATTGTTCCGCTTTATTAATGGGGTATTTAAAATATCAATCAGAGGAAATGTTTTGTTGTTTTAATTATTCGTTTCACAGGACTGGCTTAGGCTCATATCTATCCCATATACATATATTATAAAAATATATAGGGCAAGCAATGTAAATAAATACATACACACACACACACATATGCATATATATGTATGTATATATTTATATATATATATA